TAAAGACTGCCCACTAAGTACATAGCGTTATTCCTTGCCAAAAATGAGTCGAAAAAAGTCCTGAATCATTTTTAATAATTGACGTGTTACACATGTACGCTATACTATACTATATACGCTATAATTCTCCATCTAGTAGGAACCAAAATGGCGGATGAGAATACCTACATATCTAGTGCCTTACTGAAACTAAATCTACAGTTTACGTAACGTATATTGTAGATTTTTAGTACTGGCAGTGAATTTCGGAACGCAGCCTGGGTTCAGCCAAGAACTAATAGAAGAAGACTCAGAAGACTGACCATGCGGCTCGGACGCATGTATATGTGTTAATCAGTAAGGATTAAAAATTTGATAAAATTAAAGTTTTATTTTTATAATACACCAAATATTTGTAATAATTTTTAATGGTTTGATTGTAGCAAAAGAAAAATTTTGTAAGTGTTGAAGTGTCTAATAAATAACATTTTTTTCCAGCTTTAATTTGAGGTTATCCACGTTTTTTGCAATTTTGTTTATAGATTAACAATGGCGACGTCTTTAGCAGCGCAACTTAAAAAATTGAGAACCCCGCAGACGAGTTTACTGCTGCAGGACAAAAAGCGTGCCAGTTTATTGTTTGATCCAAAAGAAGCTGCGAATTTGGACAGGGACACTGTACTGAGTATAGGTTAGTTTTCTATTACTATATAAATTGTCAAAATTATAAATATTGTTTATTGCAAATTATATAATTCTTTATTTTATTAGATTCTTAATATTTTAACAAGCGTAATTTATCTTTTAATATTGTTTAAAGAATTTTTTGGAGCAAAGTTTGGAAACACACAAGTTTAGAAACTATCTAAAGATTGTTTAAAAAATAGGATATTTTTAGATACTTTTGCAATATTTTTGTTATCTGTCTTGTAATTTATCTACTATAATTACATAAAACATAAATATTTTGTGCAAAAAATATATGCTTTTAAATCACAAGTAAAAGAGAAATGCTGTATATTTATCATTTTCTCATATTTTTTTAATATGTTTAGGTCAGAGCGGTCTGCAGGAATTGGTAAAACTGTCCTTATTATTTGTTGACTTCAAAGGAACACTATTTGCACAGAGTTCTGTAAGCTTTGAGCGTGCTGTTCAAGATGCTACACTAAATAAAAAACTAGATGCAGAAATCTCCAAGTTTTTGTTGCTACTGGCTCCCTACTTTTTACTGAGTGCCACTCACAAAACTCTAGAGTGGCTGATACATAGATATCATATTCATCAATATAATCGTGATCAGTTTATACTTCTGATTTTGCCATATCATGAAACTCGTATGTTTGTTAGGTATGTATTATTCAGAAAGAATATTAATGCAGGATATCTTAGGATTTAAAAATTAATGTTGCAAGTGTCATTCATCGTGTTGTCATCACAGTTCAACGTTCTTCAAATTTATCATTATTATTTTTTTCAGAGCTTTACAGCTGATTGATTTGTCAGACGAGAATGACAAATGGTTTTGGTTGGCACCTCTGCAGAAACGTGGTGTTCCATTGGCCTCAGAAACTTTCGTTAATCGCTTGAGCGTAGATAACGGGCTTCTGAAAATGTTGTGCACCCATGTGAAATCCGCCACGGAGGTTTACTCGGAGCATGCCTCCTGCTTAACCACTTTGTACGCCTTTTACACTACCGCTGTATTGGGTTTGATAGAAAGAATGTCCACTGTCACTGAAATTCAAGTAAACTATCTGCTGCCGACTCTTCTTTACAGTCTGAAAAGTTCCATTTCTGATCTCGTTACCAGCAGCTACATGATTATTGCTAAGCTGATGACAAAGGTGATTTAATTTTTTTATATCATTTTTGCAAGAATTCCGAAGTATTTTTGTCTTAAAAACTTTAATAAGTAATGCCGATTTTACAATATAAAGTTATGTTATAAATAATAATAATGATAAAGTTTCTGAAATCTATAAAGAGAAAAATTATGTTTGCCTTTAAAAATGAAAAAATATTGAAAGTATTAAAGCAGAAATGCATATAAATATAAAAAAAATGTTGTGTTTATTAATATTATGGGAAATATACAGGTGAAATTCAACGCCAGTACCATGGAGAAGCTGCTCCTGAAAACCTTCAAGAAAACGCACTTGAAGCAGGAGGCTACAATTTTACTGCTCCATCTTTATCAGGCTCCGATTAATCGACTGACCGTCGTGCCGCAAAGTCTTGTTCTCCAGCTGTCCGATCTACCTTGGTTTGTCGAGGCAGTCGCCACGGTCCACTCGTCAAGTATCAACGCGTCGCGATTCGTCGTGTCGTTCCTTCAAACGGCTTGCCAAATCGTTGCCGAAGAGTCTCATCATATCGCTAGTGTTCAGAATACGATCGGCGATCTACTAGTACGTGTCAAACTCGATGACAATGCAGTGGATGACATCTTGTCCAGTGTATTAACGTACGAGTTCTTCAAGAGTGATACTTCGAAGGTTGCGAAGGAGTTTCTAGCGCGATTTTATCAGAATTTCGAACGCAGCTACCCGGAGAGGTTCGATCGATATCTGAAGGAGTTGATGAAGCGGAGCGAAAACGATCGAGACGCCAAGCAGGCATTGCATTTCCTTACTTCTTGGCCGTTTGGCACCAAAGACACGCAGGAATCCATCGAGATTCTGGACAAGTTGACGCATGTGAACTCCGCGCAGCGAACGGTCGCCCTCGAAATCCTCGCTAAAGACAGCGTGAGCGTGCCCGAAAATTTCCGCGGCATGATGACAAGCACGCTTCAGGCCAGATTCTCCGACAGCGACGTGAATGTTGTGAGGATTCTGCTGTCCTTCTCGACGCGGCGATTAACTAGTTTAATGCCTACTGATACCTTGGTGGACGAACTTCTCGTCCTGCTGTCGACGTGTCACACGACATCGCGGAAGACGCTAGCCAAGCCGGCGCTGAAGATTCTTCTAGAGCTCTGCGAAGAGAGCGATGACACCAGCGTCTTCCTCACGGCCTTGCCATATCTATTTCCAAACACAGACGAGGATACGGCGATCGCACTGGAAGTGCTTCGCTCGAACTTTGCCAAGAACAACGTCTACATGCAACATGTGATGGTGGACGTCGAGAAGTCCGGGCTGGTGAACGCTGAAACAATCACCTCCGCTGCATTCCACAACATACTGAATCACGAGCTGCTGCCGCCGACAGAGAACATACTAAATTCTATGCGACAACAAATCTCGCATGGCGACGCGGCGTCGTTGTTCTTTAATATGATTCTGTTGGGCTCGGTCTGCCGAGTGCCTGTAGGTTCGATGCCCGCGCAAACCGCGCGCGACGTCATCGAGATGGCTACGGACATGATCAAACGGTACTCACACGTCAAGCTGCTGCCTGATTGCAACAACATCACCGGCGACAACGTGCAAATGGCGCTGAAGCTAACGACAAAGGGTGTGCTCCCGCTGCAAGCGGGCACCTATGTCCTGGAAATGGTGCATCGTCGACTCAACATCAAATCCGAGCCGCGGCTCGACTTCGACGACAACGCCGAGCGTAGCAATTTGATTCTGCGACTGTTGGAAATGTTCATCGAAGGCATGGACAATCATCATTGGCGCCAGCATTACTCCAGATGCCTGCAAATCTTTTTCCAGTTGCACTTTCCTACTACGAAAGACCTTGTGCGCTTCCTGGCGCAGCTTTATGTGAAATCAGTGAAGGTACAGACGTCCTATTACTGCTTGCAGATCTCGTTGCTGCTGCTCGATCAGTGTAAGTCTTTCCAGTGGGCCGTTCAGGATCAGGACTTTGTGACAAACTTGCTACTCTCGTTGGCGAGACGCAACAATAATTGCAGAATGGTGGCGACAGAGATCCTGAAGAAACTGACGCAAACTTTCAATCTCACCGCGGAACCGTTCTTTGTACTACTCCAAGAACTGGCGGTGAGGAGCGCCGAGATTGCCCAGGACCCAGACCAGCTCTCACTGATTCTCTACGTCCTTCTTTCACCAGATCCGGACGTGTCGCATCAGGTTAAGCAACGCAAGAAACTGCAACAAGCACAGAAGTTGTTGTTCGACGTAGTGACGCAGCAGAACGAGGCGTCGAAGGTACCGTTGAATCGACGTTCGCAGTTGCTCGATGTTTTAACGCACGTCAACAGCAGCGGGATTCTTCAACGGCTGGCACCGTTGGGGCTTCAGCTTCTGCAAAAACTGGCGGACGACTTTAGGAACCAATCGGCCGGCAGCGCGCTGCGGAACATACTGCAGCGTTTCAACGGCAACACTGTCGACGCGTTGAACGACAAACAAGTATGGTCGCTCTTCGAGACGAGTATCGTGGAATATGAGCCACGGGCGGTGACGGAGAGCGGCGAACAAATATCGCCCAGCGTCGTGCTACTGCGACAGATCGACGAGATGTTCTTCGAAAAAGCGGGCCGAGTGTCGCGCGACCTCCAGGCACGGATTCTATCGAAGCTGCTGGACGTAGTAACCGACTGCGAAATCAGCAGCGTGATCAGCGTCGCCGGTCGGGCGTTCCGACGCATTCGCATCGATGCGACGATCGTCGCGTCGGAACTGAAGACAATGATGATAAGCAGCGAAGCGCAGGAGAAGGAATCGGCGACGACGAACAGCGCGAAGAAGCGGAAGCGGCGACACAGCCAGACCCAGTCGACGGTGAACCCGGCGATGATGCACAGTCGCGCGTGGAAGCGTGGCGTCGCGCTGCTGGAGTTCGCACAGCGCGCCGACAACATCGAGCACGAGGACGTGCTGTACAGCGTGCTGTTTGATCTGCTGAACGTGTGCCTTAGCTTAGAGGAGCAGAGCCCGATCGAGTACACGAATCAGCTGATTCTGTCGACGATCCATCGGTTGATGACGCGTGGTTTGCCGGTGCGCGACGCCAATCTACAAATCGCTCTTATCACCAAGTGCATCCGCACGTCACGCAACCCGCAGACACACCATCATGCGCTGCTGGTTCTGGTCGAACTATTGCGCTGCTCGGACGTGCGTCAAGCTCTCTTCAACATCATGCCGATCTTCACGTTCATGGGCAGCACAGTGGTACGCCAGGACGACGCTTATTCCATCCAAATCATCACCAAGACTCTGGAAACAGTGGTGCCAATTGTAAACGCTGCTGATGACGAGACGCACGCCTGTGAATTGTTGAGGACCTTCGTCGTTTCGTTGCCGCATATACCTGAGCACCGGCGGACGCCACTCTTTATCAAGCTACTTCAACTACTCGACAATCATCTGCATCTTTACTACTTGCTGACCTTTGAGAGGTACGTGATGAAGATCACGAGCCAGAAAAGCGAGCAGCCTACGCAGCGCTTGGATTTCGCTCTTCAAGTGTCACAGGAGTTCACGCCGCAGCGGCTGCTTCAAGTTAGTCCTCTGAAGTCGATTATTCAACAAAACAGCTCTTTGATAAAAGAAATTTTAATAAAAAAAATAAGAATAAAAGAGAACAATAGTATATTTTTATAAGCATTAATGAAAATAGTAGTTTCACACAAAAGTAATTATTTTCAGATTAAATAAATAATTATCGATAATATTATTAAAGAATATTGGAAAACATAGAAAGAAAATTATGCTAGAAACTAAAACTGTTTTCATATTTCAGATTTGCGTGAAAGTGATCGAGTTTATCAAGGCACTGCCGATCGACATCGAGGACGAGCTGGGCAGGAAAGTGGCGATGAAGTTCCCGTACAAGCATGTCTACGACGTGATGAAATCCTCGCCTAAGAGTCTGCGGCTCTACAAGTTAACGGCAGTGCAATTCCTCAGCGGCCTTCTGTCATCCCAGGATTTCATTAATCGCGTGGCCGTGCTGAATCCGGACGAGGCGCGCGAGATGATCAAGTGTTGCGATCGCCTAGTCATCGAGCTGATCCTGCTGATTCAAACTACGTCAAAAACAGCCGATCGGCATCAAAGCAAGCCGGGCGGC